GAGGAACACACCGGGAACCAACGAGCCTCTCGACGAGTGCAACAGTTGCTTGACCGGGGCGCCCCGCAATGTCGACTCCGATTATTAACGCGGCTCTACGTTCCCCGACACGGTCGATAAACAGAAAATCCAGATATTTTTAGGAACTGGAAAAAAGGTTCGTAGTTAGTGATGGAATTTGGCACACTTTGAATAGCTTCGAATTTATATTATATACGGTGACTCACAGAAATATTCGAATACTTACAACAGAATTTTTCTTTGAATATACATGTTATAAAATTTTTGCATTTCATATAAAAGCAAAATTTGAAATCAATCCGAAAATATATGTAGAAGCCACATGACATTGATTTCAAACGCACATTTAATGAAAAACTAGTAAAGAGCATAAGTAGTAGTCTTAGACTATACGGTAAGTGCTAACAATGGGTCCATTAAACATCTTGGCTAACTAATATAGTAAAAAATTGACTGTTCAAATATTTGGATGATATTTGCGAAGTGTATGTTTCCACTGAATATCTTGTAACTCTTATATACATTCTCAGATTCATTTCAAAAGTTAACAATACAACCACGATAGTCGTGTCTCGTTACGATGCTAATAAGATTTCAAAATATTTTGTATCATACGTATATATAATGTTTCTAAGAGTGTTCAAATACTTCCGTGAGCCATGGTAACAAATTCGAATCGCTTTGAACATAGTTTGAAGCTTATAGCTCTCTCATCACTATTCATAGTGCCATAAAGATAAATAGAAAACAGCACAAAAATATTTTGCCACGTAGATCTATTATAAAAGGATTTCATGGAGCTTAATCCGTAGAACGAAGTATTAATATATTGTTTCGACGTGAATAAAAAACATTATCAGTAAAAAATTATAATTAATATATTACAATATAGCACACGACAGTTCTTTACCATTTATTTAAAATAAAATTCAATTGACTTTTAGATATTGGATCTATGTTAGTACGTTCACTACTGTCAGAGGTACTAGAATTTGAAATGTGTGAATGATAATTTTCTATTAAACAGACTTCTTCGTATAAATCTTCTGTAGACATTTCCACAATAAGTGCACATTCGTTTAGTAGCCAACGAAAAGTTCGTGGTAATGATTTTTCAAATATAGCGAAATTTTTTGATTTCACGCGGCTGAAAATGCAGTCGTACATCCAGTACTCCGTAAAGGGTTTAAAAAATATATCTTTCTCCTTGACTACAGTTTTTTCCTCACTTGATACAGGTGCAAAAGTGTCGTTTTGATTAAAAAATGAAATGTCGCTGAAATTAAGAAAGTTATTTATATCAAAATTATCAATATTTATATTTGTGTCATCAATACTAATGTCACTGATATTGATATTTTCAGGGAATAATAATTGATTTTTTTCGGTATTTCCAACCTCTATATGTTTATCATTTATGAAACTTGTGTCGATATTATCGCAAAGATTTACATTCTCTGTTGCGGCAAAAAACTCGGCGTCACTCTTTTCAATTTTTATAGGCGCAGCACTGCCCTTAATAAACTGACCCTTAGTATTTCGCTTAAGTTGAATTTTAGATTCTTTGGAATGTGTTTTTTTCATTCCATTCGACTTATGAAAGGCTTCTTTTTCTGCTAGTGATAAATGTATGTTGTATTTATCACGTAGTTTATTTTCTAAAAGCGTCCGTTGATCCAAACCATTGCTCCCTAAATCTTCTTCGTTCTCACTATCGCTATCAACAGGTATTGCTAATTTCCCGTTTGGCAGAGTTTCGGTAAATGTAAAATCATTTCCTGCAAAGACATTTGCAGAATCTTTCATTGCACTTACAGTACTATCGTAATACTGATTTTTAATAGTGTCAAATTTAATGCTACATGGTGTTTTAGCGTGTAAATAGTCATTCACACTTTCGCTTTTAGCTTCTTCGTCCTGTAAGTCATCTTGCACATCGATAAGCTGTTTTAGTTCATTTATATTTGGCATTCTAGGTTGTTCAAATGGAGGTACATTTTTTTCGAGAAAATGTACGTTCGAATCGACTATCTCTAACTCTATGCCACATTTCGCTGCTAATTCTACTAAACTAAAAAAGAGACCAATATATTTTAATTAAATGTGATTAAAACTAGCATATTTCGAATTAATAATCTCAAATTACTTACGCATCAGATTTTGTCATGTACCCAACTTTTGTAAGAAAAAAATCGCTTCGTGCTATATTAGGAATATCGTAAAACGGATGATCTAATAAATGTTGCAAGTACGAATGAAGAGGTGTTAGAGATGGTGGAAATATATCAATTGCCTTTGGCGATGAATCATTGATATTTAAGTTACTTATGTGTTTTCCCATAGCACTAATAATTTCTTCTGGCAAATAATGTTTAGAATTTTTTATTTCTCGTTCATTCTTATTCGATTTAGAAGATATAAATTCTAAGAATTTTAAATATAAATCGTCGATTCCATCTGCATCGGGACAATATTTCATTTTGGTTGGATAATGTGTATGCATTAAAATCGTCCTTCTGCATTCAATATATTTTTGCCATTCTTGAAAACTAAAAAGCTTATTATCGAGTAAGCCGCGTTCAATAGCTGTGCTGAAATATAAAAGAGAAAGGAGGTATTTATATTAGCAATAAAAAAATTTAATGTATTTAATGTATTAATTCTCATTAAAAGTACGATTATAAAAGGAGATTTGCACTCGCAATTTTTGTCGTCTTTGTCATACATTTCTCTTCTTTCTTCATATAATCTAGCCCCGTATATAATTAAATCGTTTTCGATTACAGCGTATGGCATTTTTTCGGAAGTAAAATATGTTGCCCAATGACCATCTGACTGAAGTACAATTCCACCACCGACTTGTTCAAATTTTTTTAACATATAAGAAAAGTGCTCATGCAGAGCTTCCTCGCCCGAAATATGACATTTAACGTCTTCTACAATTGCACGCGCTAGTCCTAGTTTCATTATAGATTCTCCATGTCCTGTTAAGGAGCATCCTACGTTCCTATTAGCATATGTACCACAACCCAATATTGGAGTATCTCCTACTCTCCCTACCAACTTTTTATTTAAACCTCCAGTTGTAGTTCCAGCAGCTACACTATATCCGTCATATGCTACACAACCAACAGTACCAAGACTATCTATAAATAATAACTTCCTGAATAAATAAAAATCTACTCTTTATCGTGGTCTAAAATGTAATCAATTTACTCGTTAACATATCGATATCCAATAAACTTTGATTATAAACATCCGCATTAAATTCTCCTGTTTTCCCTGAATGTAAAGCTATACGTGCTGCTGGTGAGACCATATTTCCTTCTGATATCCAATTTAAATCTGCATGTTTTGCTAGATTTTTAGCTCCTTCACCCACGAAAATGGAATTTGGAAAATTGTTCATAACATATTTTGCGAGTGTTATAGGATGTTCTATGTCTGAAACTGCCGCTACTGATCCACATTTAAATGTGAAACCATCCATTATGCTAGCATCCATTTGAACTTTTCCTAATAAGGAATATCAATAATCTTCACTTACGTAATCAAACTTTGCTAATATATTATTGATATATATTTGAAATGCACCTATTTCATTCAACACGGATCCGTAACTACAGTTAAAAAATTCATCACATTCAAGCCACCATAATGCAGCTTCTACAGCATCTACTGCAGTTTCACCATTTATTAATTTTTTATAACCATTGATGGCGGCTTTTTTACAAGCTGTCATTTTTTCTATAACTATAGAATCACTAAAATCCCCCGCACCACCGTGTACAATTATGCACGGAGTATTACTTTCGTAACATTTACATTCTCCAAACCCAATTTGTTTTTGCGATTTATTTAACGCACTATCAGATAATGTAATATTTCCATGTTGCATTTTTGTTCCAAATAAACTGACCATTTTTACTATTTATATTACAGATTTACAGACTTTGAGGTTCAAAACATAAAATAATATATATAATAGATATTCATTTTTTTCAAACATACCTGTTGATCTTCTCTGCAATTCTACTAATGCGATATTCAGTTACGCCATCTAGAGCAAGTAAAGTTTTCAGCACTACTATAATAAATGCCATTGCACGACCTTCATAGTTAGGAATGCATGACTTTTTTGCATCAAATATCATTTTAGGAGGTGATAAAGCTATTAATCTTTCTGTATATAATTGAATGCCCCCTAAAATCATATATGATATACAAATATAAGATTCAGTTAATAGTAGGAATGTAAGCAAACATATAAATAAACAAGCTAAAAATATAAATAAATAAACTGAAAATTTAAATAAATAAACTGAAAATATAAAATATAATCATACTTGGCAATCCTAGTTCTTGACAATATCTGTTAACTAAAGATAGAAAATCAGGACAAACTATATTCCATACACCAAGTAATTTTGCTATACTTGCAATAATTCGTCTCATGCCTTTATGTGTAATTTCAACATTCTGTGTTAAGAAGCTTCTTTCATTTGCTGTTAAATTCAGTTCTGGTGGTAATAAATGATCCAATTTGTAGTAAGACAAGTGTCCTTCTCTTCCATATCTAAGAAAAGATTCTTTAATAAATAAAATTTCAGTTTATATATTAATTATATATATTATATATATCATTATATATTAATAACTATATATATCATGATAATAAGAAACATCTCTTACATGCCTTAACATATCTCCTAATTGTATAGGTTGATTATGGATCCTTAAAGCTAAATATATAATTGCCCATAGTCGCATAGGTGTAATTATATTAGGTCCCATTTTGTACTGAGTACTTATGTGTTTCGCCCTGTATTGAACTCTTTCAAATTTAGGTATATTTTTTGATAATCTTTTAATTTTTCTTGCTTCTTCTTTGGCATGGGAACTAAATTGCACTCTAAATAAATCAAAAAGTATAAGAAATATTTCAATACATGTATATCAAATTTTTTAAAGAAACTTACTTTCCCTCATTTTCTGATGATTTCACAGAACTAGATTGCCTACTATATATACTTTGACTTTGACTGAACATACTAAGACCATCACCCTCAGAACTATTTTGAGACTGAAGATATCTATCATAATCTGCCGCTATTAGAAGTCTCTGAAAAAATGTGGTTTGCGTGAAATATGAAATAAATTTGTTTCTATTAATAAATGTTATAAAAATTACTTTGTTTCTGTTTAATTCTCTCATAGAACTACCCTCACTAAGTCCAGTAATGCTAGTTCCACTGACAGAAGTATTTGTATTACTTCTATATCTTTTGCGCTTTCTGGATGTTTTCTCCGATTGTACCTTGCCATAAATAATATCTGCATCCCTATTATAGTAAACATTAATTTGTCTGAATATAAACATAAACATAATTCAAATTGTTTACTCAAACATACCTTTTCTTATATCTTCTAGCTAATTTGGGCATAGATTTCCTTCTAGTTGAGATAAATGCTACTTCAAGTTTGCCTAAATATGTTGCCCATAATTGTAATACTGTCAATTTTATATCAGGTGGAACTCCAAGTTCTATTAGCTCATTTGTTAAACCAATTAAAACAAAATTGTATAATTCCCATGAAGTCCATCCAACCTCATTACCTAATAATTGTAAGTAAAGATTGCATACTTAACATTTAAAGATATTAATAAATTCCTAGAATAATATTTAAAATAATATTGATACAGACCTGATATATCAGATTTTAATTGCCTAATTTTTGTTTTTCGCAATCTAGTCGTACTATCTATACGTAATTCAAGAACTTCCTCTCTGATATCCTACAGAAATAATGAAATTAATTACTATTGATTATGAATTATGTTTAAAAAGATAAGAATAAAATTACAGTATATTATTACCTCATTTTGCGTTTGACACGTTTGACAAAAGAAATATCCAGCTTCTTTGTAAAAATCTTTACTGCCACAAATTTTGCACTTTTGCATTTTCTTTATGTACTCCTAACGGGAGTTCTGTCTTCTGCTGTTTGTTGCATTTAGGTATACTATGAGGTTATGCGACACGAGCACGCTTTACATCTCACCTCGTACTTTCTCATTAACAGAGGAACTTAACTTTACGGCGAGTACTCACGTGACCGATCATAATCTTTCGTTCTGAATTGCGATTGGTGTAGTTTGAACGAATGATACATTGAAGATACATGTGAATTGTACCCTGTAGCGGGAATACAACGCAGAATATTACCGCTAATTTACGGTTAAGTTTTCAGAGAAATGTAAACAATAATCGAAGTGTTTGTTATAAAACTTTGTTATCATTGAAACATTACACACGGTAAATATAGCGTGACGATTATAAAAATAATCTTTCCTGACACGTCATAATTCTTGAATTGTGCTAGAAAGTTTTTCTACAATCAAGAGAACTAGATTTTGCCTCACAATTGAATTCGTTTACAATAGCGTCCTAACCTCTATCTTGCATCGTACTCTTGAAGGAGATTGTGCTGCCGTAATTGAAGAAGGATGGCTAATTTTCCGAATGTTTATAGACAACTTTCTTTAAGGGATCAGTTTATTGTTAAAATGTGACACTGTGTTAAACTCAGAATAAAAGATGACAAGGCACGTATAGTTTGTGATTATGGAGTATGACTCTGCATCGAACTGTGAAGGTCATCTGCAAGATTTCGAAGCTTCAGAAGATCTCCCGCGTTTAAGAGAAATACAAAAACTTGAATGTTCAACCTGTACTACAAGTTCTACACCATGGCATTCTCTGCAGGTTGTGGCACCGCAGCCAAAGATCAAACTGGGTCCAACAAGCAAAAGTCTTTCATCTCAGGTAATGGAATATTACCACAAGTATTCTCAAAATACAAATTTGGATCAATATTTTTCGTTGCCTACGTCTAGTACATCACCAGAAGCAAATAAATGTTACTATAGTATATACGAAGTAAATCCTAAAGTAGAGGCTAACAGACAAGATTGTATAGGAGAGGAGTATAATTTAAAGACTTGTGTGCCCAGAGAGAGAAGAAGATGGGTGAGACCACCCCTTATTGGCCAATCCTCGAACGCAGAGTCATCATCTAGATATGCTCAACCATTGTCAAATCCAGAATCTCCATCGTCTGATTTAAAACATGTTACATCAGAGACAATTCTAGAAGAGAAAAATGAAAATCAGGAGATTTTAACAGAAAGCATAGAAAGGAAAATATCTTCTCCAACTTCTAGTATTGCTTCCCATAAGCCACTCGAATGGGATAGTGGAGCAGATGTTGGTTATTTTAATCTAGTACCCAGTAAACAAAATGATAAGAAATTAAGTACAATAGAACGCATGGCTTTAGCTAGAGGTTGTTCTGCCGCTTTAAGATTGGATCCAGAAGGTACTACGGAATCGGGAATTTCTGGGAAGCTCGTGGGAGTTCAAAAAAATTCAACCACTTCTATGGTTCCCAATGCTAATTCCACACCATTAAATCTGGGAGATGCTTCAGGATCAGAAAGTGAGATTGAAATTACTCCGATTGTTAAGAATCATTTGCCAGGTATAATAACAGGAAACGATATAAAGTCCAATGAAAAATCTCTTCCTAAGGATCTCAAGCAGCAAGATGCTTTTGTGCATTATTCAAAAAAGGAGCACAACTATGATACTCCAAAATCAACGTTTGTATCCAAGGTCCCTCTTGTAAAACCCACAGGTGAGATAAGAAAGCTAACAAGCAAACAAAATACGAACAAAGAAAATATATGCCCTCTCACGTCGCCTTTAAAAAAGAGCACATCCATGAATACGTTAATTATACCAGCCTCTAAATTACCGTTGAAACGAAGTCAGAGCGAGTTGAATTTGTACGCTAGGGATAAGAGCAGAGCCGCGTTGCCACTAATTTTTAACTCTTCATCCTCTATCGCGACTATTGTAAATAAACCTTCCACTTGTGATAAACTTATACAGACGAGTCTATGCACTTATACTCAAGAATCCGTTGGCGTGCAAGTCTCGGTTCTCGATGAAGAGAAGCCGCCGTTACCAAAGAGAGGAACTAGTTTGCAGAAGGATTCGACATTAATGTTAAAGAATCCAAAGGGAACGTACAAAGTTCAGAATTGGAGGAAGCATGAAGCCAATGAAACACGAGATGTTGGAGTAAACGAGCGTAGTAAGAAAGTAAAGCCGCGATACAGTAATTCGGAACCATCTCAGAATGGTTCTGCGAGGCATACGCCTCAGCCTGACGGTGTAGGGAATATAACTGGCAGAGCAAATAGTTTCGAGTATTTCCCTGGTCACGTATACGAGAACGTTCCTAATGGAAGCGGTAGCCATATCTCATCTTCGGAGACCGGAAGGTCTCATTCTACTCTACCTAATACCAGCTCCAGTATTAACGAGAAGCTATGGGGAGAGTCGAATAGCTTGGTGAAGGATCTAGAACGGAGCGTAAATATATTAAAAAGTCTCGTCGATGCGAATAAATGCGACAAGGAAGTTAAGAAAAGACTGATACATCATGTAGTCAAGAGATTGATCACTGCCAAATATACAGACGACAAAATCGAACATAATCTAGAAGACAATGTTCCATGGAATCCTGACGATGCTAGGAGCAGAGTGTACGGTAGGGAAATACTCCAGGCTTTAACGAAAAGGCATAATACCAGCGATTCTTCAGGTAACTGGAATTTGCAAAAGGAAATAACGCAAAGAAAACCCATGAGGAATGGAAGAGGCATTACGAAAGATATTACGTTAGAAAGTAGCAGTGATAAAATAGATAAGAATACGGACAGAACAGAAACTGATGGACGAAAAGCGAGGATGGGTCTTAGATCTGACGATTGTCATCGGAGCAACAATACTATTACCGATCCAGACAAGAGCGAAAGCTCTGAATGCTTTTTACCTCAAAGAAATCGCAAAGGCAACAAAATGCAAGATATATTTTGTACAAAAGAAAGATGTAAAATTTCTCAGAGAGATTCGACGATGACGACAACGGCGACGACGACGACGACGACGACGGCTACTCCTCCTGATCATAACCGAATGTTGTTGGACGCGGTTGTGAACAACAGAAGACCCATCGTTCGTTCAAGCAATGCAGGAGAACGTGACGATTGGAGATTGCTCACTACATTTTCAGAAAGACAATTCGAACTTAAAAAGTGCGGCAGTTCTGACTCCGGAGACTCGAAATTGGTTAGCTATGCCGAGATGGAGAAAAGAAATCAATTGATTTGGATCACGAATGAAATCAGTCATTTATGTAATTTGAAGAAATTGTTAGAAGAATCGCGAAGGCCAGAAAGATCACGAACGTCTCCAAAGAAATCGAGGTCAGGAAACTGCAAAAGGAAACCGATGGAGTCGCTGACGCATGTACATGATTTACCTAATGGTAAGGATTATTTGCAAAGGAACGGATCAGATACACAAGCCGATTCAGTGGAAGAGCCATGGTCATCTCATTGCAATTTAGCAACGTGTCAACTTTCCAGTAGATCAAATAGTATTATCCAACGTATTAAAAAGCGAAACAGTTGCGCACAAACTGCGACTAACATTACCAATGCCCTGTCGAAGACTGGCGGTGAGATCGTGTCTGCTTCTAATCTACACAATTCCAGAATTAAGTTAGTCAGTACTGGGATGCAAACTGTCCCTCAAGAAATATCTACAGCTTCTGCTATGGTGCAGTCAGAAATCGTGCACTATGTCCAGTGTTCGGCGCATAGTGCGCTGCACTTCCAAAACAATCACAAATGCAACGAACAAGCGAATCAATGCTTAAAGTATCATGCCATTCAAAATATAGTTACCACTTGCATGCAATGTTTACAGGAGCAGAAGGATCGATCGAGCAGCGTCCAGAAAGTGCATACGAATATAGAAAACTTTCGAGAGGAGAGTCCAGTTGGCTCACAGGGATTGTCTGATCAGATGAATAGTAACTCCTCGTCTGAGGTAATGCATCATTGTGCGAACAAGGAAGTCCAGACGAGTTCACTTAAGCAAAAAGAAACGAAGAATCAAATAAACGCCTCGAGGTCAAAGTCGTGTGACTGCAAATGTGACACTAAAAAGGTAGTGTCCAAAGGATGTCAGTCGTGTGCATCGCCAATAATTGCATTGGAAAGTAACAATGCTCCTAAGTGCGACGAATGTCAGAAGAAGATATTCCATGCACGTGACAGAGATGAGGGGAATTCGAAAGAATGTAGTTGCACAACGGTGTGCGAATGCGATAACGACCACTCGAAGAAAGGTCGGGCACCAATGAGATATAGTTCAAAGTATTATCAGAATAATAATGGATACGTATCGAGTTTGAATCAAAATAGCCGCATCAAGCTGTGCGGATGTTCGAGCGATTGTGTCTGCGAGAACAGTCGCGAACCGGAAATGCAGAACGCGAAAGGATTCTGCAGTTGCCATTCAAATGGGAGAACTCAATACAATGGGTCTCGCTATTCTCGCGCGGAAGTGGAAGACTGTTCGACTCAACCGTGGCCTTATTGCGTTACTAATGGACAAGTTAACGAAACTGCACAGTACAAAGTACAAAGTAATGTAAAATGCAACTGCGAGAAAGATTGTTTTTGTAATAATCGAGCGAAAAATAGCGAAGAATTGTTGCGTGGCAGAGCCTGCAACAACGGAAAACCAAATTACGTGGACGAGGCGAATCAAACTAGTGATTCCGATATAAATTGTAAATATTGTCGTTGCTGTGGCACGGCATATCAAAGCGTCAAAAACTGTAGTTGTTATCAAACGTATCCAAAAGCCATTGCGTACGAATTGTCGTTCGCAAAGGAAAATGGCCAGAAAAATGATAATCTGGGTGCGTTTTTAAAAGTGCCATTATCGAATTATACTGTTAACGAAGTGAAAACGGATGGCTGTGTTTGCAACATGATTAAAAAAGTTAGCTCGAAGAAAAATTCTCCGCAAAAATGTACTTTACAGGTAAGTGGGCGCTATATATAGGGTGTCCTGCAACATGTGGACAATATTTCAGTCAATGTAATGCAAATAATAAAATCACGTAATTATATATAACAATGTTTTATCGATTTTAGGATTATTTGTGTAAGAATAAAGCGGATTTTGTAAATAATGCAGAAACGCGTCGGC